AGGCCATTTTCAATTGATGTGCCAAATTACAGTAGTCTATTACATTTCCTAGATTTATCCATCTGGTGAAAAGTTTAAAATTCAAATCAGGATCATTTATAGGGAAAGGAATAGCTCACGCTTGGATATCTCAATTACTATATTTTTTGATCTTATCTTAGATAATGTAAGACAAGTTTTGAGAAAAGAATATGTGGGGAGGCCGCATATACCTGCAGGTATAACACTGAAGAAGGTTATTTAAACATCTATAGGCTGGTGACAAAGGGTTGGACAGAGAAACATAATCTAAACCCGAGAACTATATTATTATTAATTACCTTTAGAGGGGGGAGGGGATCTGACCAAATTATAATCTAAAGTAAGAAGGTAAGACTAAATGATTAGTACTTTTATCTTGAAAATGTAAATAGTGAGCATTTGAAATTTATTATTTGTATGTTGAAGTAGGGGTGATTAATATGAGAAACCGTTGTCTAAAGTTTGAGAAAGTTCAAGTTAATTGTGGGTTGGAAGGGAATATTTGTGTTTGGGAAATATAAATAATCTAGTTATTGGAGGGATAAGAATTTAAAACTCAAGATATCTTTTTTTAATTTTTTGTTATTATTATGATTAATAAATTATTTCATATTATGGTTAGGTCCGTCACGTATTTTACAACTCTGTTAAACAGTAGTGATGTAATTCTAATATGTTTTACCATTGAAAGATGTTGGTGTTTACATTTCTGATAATATGGGCTAGGAAATGTATCCTACTACTTCTTTTTAAAGCTAATATTTATGGGGGAATATTTAAACCTTTTACAGCTTGTCTTTAGAAATGACTCTAGGATAGAAGATAACGTTTGTTAATAAAAATCTGCAACTTTTTCGCCAGAATACAATAGGATAGGGATAACGCTGGAATTAAATATTCTTAGCCTGGTTCTGCTAACTACCTAGATCTCTATATTTTAAAATATTGTAATAAACGGTTGAATAAGAGATTCTTATTTTTTGTATGCTGATTCCCCTAGATTTCCATTTAATGTTTGTATAAAGCAGCATTGGCGTTTTTTCTAAAGATCACCCTTGTTCCTAACTTTATTGTCTATGATAAACCCGAGGTTTTCAAACTTTGATAAATTTTTATCTCTACCAATTATATTATGAGGCTGTCGATTGAGGATGCGTGGCTTATTGGCAGGACCATTGTTTTTTGTAGTTTATGTCTAGAGCAACTTATTGACTAAAATAATGGCGTAATCAGATTGCAGGTTTCTTCTAAATTTATCGCGATTATAACTATTCGCATAAAATATAAACTGTTTACCAGATGGTATGTATTACAATACCTAAATCTATAACTCGTCTGAACAAACGCGTACGCAGGATTTTGGTCTGGGGAGGGGATAATAATTTTTTTTATGAAATATTATTGTTATTTAAAAATATCAAGCATAAATTTATTAGGACTAATAACTATTTCTAATACACAATTTTAAATTAAATGAATTATAAAAAAATTATATATATAAACCGGCACATAAAAAACTATAAAATAAATGTGAATTAAAAAATATAAAGTGAATATAACCACCTGAATCACTTAAATGACCCAAAATAGAAATTTGAATTTTTTGAGCATTTAAAATTATGTAAGTAAAAAATTTTAATGTTGAAAATAGAAATATTAATACACAAAAAGTTTCTTAGGAATAATTGTATTTTGTATTATATTTACAATGTAAAATCCAATCTCGTTGGGATTGGGCTAATTTTTCAATTACTCATACTTGATTGGCTTCAAATGCCTATAAATATTTAAAAGATCCAAACCATTCAATCCACTTTCAGAAGTTGTACTTCTTAGGTATGTTTTCAGAGAACTGCAGGCCCGGTTCCCGGGCTGGACCGTATTTTAATTTTTTAAATACACCTGGGCAGGGCCCGAAATTTTTTTAAAAAAAACACCCGAGCGGGCCGGAAATTTTTTTTTAAAATAATTATCCGGGCCCGGCTAAAACCAAATATTTAAAATTAGGTATAAAAATCTAAAATAAATATAATTTATTTAAAATATCCGTACGGGCCCTGCAAATTGTATCTCTGCAGGGCTCTGTTATTCTTCATAAAAAAGAGAATGTTCTCTCATTAGTTTACTAATGTGAAGAGTTGCTAATATATATAAATTTTAATACATTGGGAATAAAATCTAAAATGTGTTTGAAATTATACAAAGCATCCATAGCATTTTTTTATATTATATCTTAGTTAATCTTTTTAACATAGTTATTCAGCTAATAAGGCATCAAACAAATATTATTTTTTTTCTATCACTGTCTGAAAAAGATTGGGAAGCTGCAGATTAGTAAGTGCTGCATGATGAATTAAAAACCATTCATTTATTATAGTTTTATAATACTTTTCTACTGATCTTATACTAATGTTTTGACGATGAGCTTGCCTCTGCAAATCGAGTGAGACAAATATTAGCTCTCCTTTTGACTCAACAATAACATATAAAATTGAAATTCTTTATCAACATTAGCCCTGATTTCCTTGAGTTCTAATAAAATGCTCTCCGCTATTCACATCTTCTTAATCAAGTCAATGCCATGTTTATCATAAAATAGTTGTATAATTAAATAATACATTCTAATGAGAAATTTTTTTTTTAATAAGTATTGAATCCAACAATTTTCTTGCTTCTGAGGAAATATTTCTTTCAGGCCATTGTGATATTTCAGTAATAGCATTAATAATCGGTTCTTCTAACTCCATAAAAGTTGTTACTGCTTGATGGCGGAAACTCCATCTCGTTGGATAAGCTTGCACTTTCTTTCCCCTTGCTTGACAAGGAGTTTCAGAAAAATTATATTTGACTAGAAATATGAAAATGGTAGTAAATCGTAAATATTACGCCACTAGATATTTGAAAATAATAGGTAAATATTACGCCAATGAAAACTTGAAATCGAAATTAATTAATAAAATAACTTAATAAATGAATGTGATAAATAAATGTAATTAAATATATATTAAATATGAGATAGGAATAAATATTAACAAATATAAATTAATATAAACATAAATATTTTTGAAAAATATATCCGGCATCTGCATTTTTTAGCTTTGGGGGGGGGGAGGGGATTTTCCCCCTGATACACCCCCCGCCGCGTACGCTAATGCGTCTGTAACTAGGTTATCGCTCAATATTTTATTTATAGTAATATGGATAGAGGAAAGGGCAACCCCTTTCCTTATTCTGAAAGGTGGTGACGTTTTATTGTTAAATTGGTATATTCCACAAGTCCTCATACATTATATTATCAATCGCTCTTTTAAATTCTATAAAGAAGAAGAAAAAGGGAAGTTTATATATGTCACATATCTGAATAATTACTTTGAGTTTAAGATTGGCAGCATAATATTTCTGTAGGGGCGGTATGCCCATATATATTTTTAAAATAATCCAAATGTGAAGTATGTAAGTTTTCAGTAGCACGATAAAAATTTAGATATAAAAAATGTGAAGGCTATGGTCCTATAGTCTTTAAAGACTTTGATACCCAGTATATTGAATAACAACCAGTAGCTATATTGATGTGATAGGTTTTTTGGAGTAAATATGCTCATCTAATGGTCTACCCACAAGGTCATCTATTCATTTTGATACGTTATTATTTTATTCTCCAATCTGATTAAAAGTAGTTATTTGAAGATATTGGAACTGCAGAAATATTAAAGATTTTTATAGGCGTTGTATAACCTATTTTATTTTACGTCGCATTTGATCTGATGAGCTTTCCTGGGAAAAAGAATTTTTCTGTAACTTCTTTGCAATCTTTACAGAGCTCTATCAAAAGTGCCTCTCGACTTAGTAGAGTATTTTTTTTAACTGTCTCTGAAGATATCCAATCTTTTCTTTAATAGGCATAGTCAAAATTTTGGTAAGAGGGGGTTTTATTAGGTGGGGTTTTACCCATGAATATTAAAGGTGTTTAAGCTCACTTTTATAGGCCTTTAGGCTTTATTAGGTTTTATAAAAATAATTGGGGGTTCTCGTTTCTTTTTATATTAAAATGGTTTTTTATAAATTTTGAATATAGTTGTCATTTAAAAAAGTTATTAACTTTGTCTAATTTGTTTTTAAAATTCTTATTTATATTTTAGTGATAGGGAGCGGGTGGGTGTGTGAGAATTTTTTTATTAGCTTAAAAAGATATTTACAAGAGGAAGCAAATTTTTAAGAAAGGGGGGGGGGGTGGCGATAATTTTTTTTTGTCACATCTTTAGTTCCTTTGCAAAAATAGTTACCTTCAAAGACCTTGCTTGCCTCATTTACTACTCCAATAAACAGCACCCAATATTCCTCATGCAATTTATTCTCAAAGATGTGAAATGTGAAAGCTTCCTGATCCTGGCTAAATATTTGCAAGCAATTTTATTTTTTGGTATTGTTGTGATGCTCGATTTGGGTCTAGTTTTTAAGGGCTTGATTAAGATTATAGATAAAATAATATTATGTAAACCTGTAAATTTTGCTCACAGGTGGGAGAAATGTTTGGCCCTTTATTTACCATTTTTTGAGGCTTACATATATTATTTTGGCTAAAAATAATCAGGCCGTTTTAAAAATCGATCAAATAGGGCTTTTTAACAACTCTACTATGGTACTTGTATTTCTAATTTAAAACCAAATTTTCTGGCTATTTGAGGGCCTTTGCCTTTTGGTTACCTTTTCCCACGCTTTCTGGATTATGATGGCCCTAATTATTCTATTATCCAAAGTATTAATTAATTTTTATATTGATCAGATGTTTGGATAGAAGATAGGTTTTTAAAGATTTTATGATAACAATTCCCGAATTTTGTATATATATAAGCTGATGTGTATTATATTATAATTAAAACATTAAAAAACTATGTATCTACCGACGTAAAATAAAGCATTAATCATAATTGAAAAAAAAAAACTTTAAATTAGGGTAAATAATAAGGCATTCACTCACAAATAAATTTAAATTATTCCAGCTAATTGATCAATAATTTATTTTAGATATTACATGTATACAGGTACTAATATTTTGATTTAAATTATTTAGTACACATTTTGTGATTTTTGATTATTTTGATATTAAAAATGTTTTGATTTGAAATTTATTTATAGAGATTCTTGTATAATTAATTTAAAAAGGCAATATAAAATTTATACTCCTAAGTTTTAAAGAATATATAAATGATAATCTATTACTTTATGCAATGCTTGAAAATAGGATCACAAATTTATTATATTCATTGTTTACCCCTATTTAAAAATAATCAAATTGGTATTGGCAGATACCCTCAATTTTTTATACCCAAAAAAGATAATTAACCTTCATAAATTAATTTTATAGCCTATTTTAATATGGTTTCATAATTATTTATTAATATTAGTTCCTGAAAACCCAACCCACTAGACCAACATGCGGGATAGTTTGAGCCAGAAATTGTATTTTAAATTTGGGCTGGCAAAATTTTATATAGGTGGGTTGATACAATTTTGAAATATTTTTGTTGCCATTTGAATTTTATGAATAATTTAGATAAATTTTATTACTTAAAAAATTATTTCTTACAACACACAAAATAAATTAATTTTAGGGTAGTTTTTGAAATATATTTTGATGTCCAGTAAGTTCAGGAATATGGAGGTAATTTTCTATAATAGTGATTTGGATTGAAATTTTTTTTTAAAGAAATTTGAGATTAAGTCAAGAAATTGCATTTCTACCTATTTATATGGTTTTACTCAAAATAAATTGTCTATAGCAGGTATCTAATTTATATAAATGTTTAAACTAATAAGAAAGAAGGTAGCTATTGCTAATTTTTTTCTCTTATTTATTTAATTTTATAAAGTTGACAATAAATCAATTAATAAATGATAAATAAAAATAAATGAGTATTTTCTTTTAGTTATTGTTATCATTATCTTGTGAATTAGCTGATTACATATTTGTATCAGTGGTATGTGTTAAAAAGTGCTACTGATGCATCTCTTATAATTGCATATAAAACAATTTTTGAATTTTTTTTAATTAATATATTTTTTTAGTAAATGCTTTAGGTTATTGCCTTTGATTATTATTGAAGTATCTTCAAATTCTTTTTATTTTAAGATAATTGAAATTAAACTAAGGTAAAAGATAACCTATAAATAAGATTCTAATCATATGTTGTCAGCTGAATATTATAATAACTATTCTATACCCAATTATACCCAATTTTTAAAAATATATTTTATCAGGAGGGCATTTAAAAAATTTTAAATGCAGATCATAATGTAATAATGCAAATGAATGATAATTATTACTAATAATTATATTTTAAAATTTTTTTTGTTAATTGTTAAAAAAAATTGGTTATAGAACACTATAAAACTCAGCCAACGATTATTATATTACCATATAATCACTTGACTTATATATAAGATTTAATGCACTCACTAATAGCTAAACTTGAATACTTCCATTTTGTTAAAAGATATTTAAAAAAATAAATATGTTTAGCCTTGGCATTCATTCCTCTTACATGTTTATTCTTTTCATTTGTGCTCTTCTTCATTCCTTTTGGCGTTTTCTTATTCCTGTACCTCCAAGCCATCTCCTTGCACATTTACAGACGAAAACTCAAGTAATACTTAATAACCCAATCATTTTTTTTCTCTTTTGCTTATCTATTTATTTATTAGATATTAAATAATCATTAAAAAATAAAACAAACATTTTTAACATATCTTTCATATAATAGTAGAAGTGGTCTCTCTATTGATAAGCCAATATCACTTTTTATATTCGGTCAATTTGGTTGGCTTTTTATAAAGGGACCATTTTTCAAAAATCGATTTTTAGTTGGTTTAATTGGATTTTTTCTGGGTTTTAATCGATCTTCTTAATTTACTATTATTATTATTATTACTGAGTAAGGTAATTGATTTATTTTTTAGCCATTCTAGCCAGCTAAAAACGGCGAGATCGAGTTTTTAGCCGATAATCATAACATCACCCTTTGGTTTTTTTTAAAAAATATAGCTCAAATTTGAAAAAAGGAAAAATAAATTCGAGCCTCAGTGCTTAGCGCATTTTCTTCATCCCTCATTCATAGTTAACGCAAATTCATGGTGAAGAATACAAAAATACATGATGTTTTGTATACTTCGCCGCGAATTCGCGCTAGTTGTGAATGAGGGATCGGTATACACGACTGAAAATTGAGGCCAAATTAACTGATTTTTAGTTAATACCCAAATATAACAAATTATAACGAAAAATTTAATAATTTTTGTTGGAATGGGAAGGGAACTAAGAAAAATAATCAATTTTTTTTTACTGTTCAAAAATAACTTATCATTCGATTTTTATTCATAAATTTTTAATACCATACTTTCATTCATAAAATAATAGTTAATTTTTTTTTGAAAGAAACTTCTCATATTGAAAGTTTTCATTTATATTGGATTTTAATTTCAATAACAATAACAATAATAATAATATTGATTAATAAAGAAAATACCCTTATCTGCCAAAATAATAATTTATAAAAGAAATCCCTAAATCCATTTTTTGGCACAGGGAAAATATTTTACTATCAATAAAATTTACCTTCTGAAATAGTTTACTTTTTTTTTACTCCAAACTTTATTTGAAGTAGTTCTTTTGCGTCCACACCTAAAATCATAATCCCCCTAAATAAATTTACTTACTGCTTCTTTTAAAAGGATTTGAAAGATTTTAATACCCCCCCCCCCCCCCCCCCATTCTTGAATCGAGAAGCTCTACTTTTTTGTTCAAATTTAAAACATGAATATCAACTTTATAAAGTTTTATATGAATTTATGTAGTAATAGATTGTAGCAAAATATTTAATATTTTTAATTTAAAATTTGATAGGGTCCTCTAGTAAAAAATAAAAATACAAGGACCATATTATTGTTTAAAATGGGATTCAAAAAAGAAAAAAAAATGTATTTATGTTCTCTTAAATATTTAATTTTTTTAGATTAAATGAACCATTCTCCAAAAAAATATGGAACGCGGCTAGGAAAATCATAGCAAATCTTTGGCTCTTGCACGCTTCCATATGGCATGGTATAATTTATTTTTTTAAAAAAATTACATAAATAAATAACCCATTATTATGTGGTATAATTTTTTTAGTAACACATGAGTGAGTGTACAATTTTAATAGCATATTTGTAGGTATAGAATTGTAAAAGAAAAACAAAAATGAAACTGTATAGCAAAATGTAAAAAAGGGAAAAAAAACATGCTTTAAATCATTTTAACGAAATTTAAGTTTTTTTTATTATTAAACAGGCGCGTAACCAGGGGATGGGGCATCTCAAATTTGCCTGTTCTCGTAAATATAATTTTTAAGCTAATAAAAAGCCCACCATCAACCCCCTTTTCACATGAGATTTATACAATATATCACTATAACCCTGCATTCACAGTTAACGCGAATTCGTAGCGAAATATACCAAAAATTTGAAAATAAAATTAGTAAAATTTTTTAACTTTTTTAAAATAACGACTATAATCTAAAAATTATTAGAAAAAAAAGTGACAATTCAAAATTTTTTTTTATAAAAATCTAATATAACCAAATGCTTACAATAAGTGGACTTAAATACATACTTCAGTAAAATTATTGCAAAAAAAACCACCTAAGCAAAATCCTGGATACGCTCTATGTAATTAAACTACTCAATTTAACAAAATGAAGGAGTTTAAAACCTATCCAACAAATATATTGGTAAGGTTTTATTAGAATGATTGATGATATTAAAAAATTTCAAGATTGGTTTAATATATTTTTCATATGGATTCTTAAGTATAAATATTAATAAAATTTAAAACATTCTCTTATTTATTCGTTTATGGTCTTTTCCCGAAAAAATAGTGTTTTCATCTAATTTGTAATTTATTTTCAAAAAAAACACAACTTAATACTTACTAAAAATTAATTTTTTTTTCCGCCAGAGTTTGGAACTGTTTCTGATTCTAAATATTTTTTAAACGAGATTTTTTTTTATATCGGTTCTTGTATTTAATTCGGTTCTACTTCCGGTTGCAAAAGTTAATTTCGATATAAAGAAAAAAAAATTTTTTCGAAATATTTAAAACATTTTAAAAATAAACTAAAAAAATTTGGATAATATTTAATTAGTTGTACTTTTTTTTGTTAGATCCGATTTTGGAGGTTTTGGATTGGATAAATAATTTTTCTGATTATTCTTGTTTAGTGCTGTCAAAACCTTTATTTAGCCGATTTAAAAAAATATTATCGACTCCTCGAGATTTGGGCAAATTAGGGAGGACAAAATTTTTGCCATCTCAATGCCAAATCTTAAGGGTTAGGTAATATTTTTTTGGCTAAAATCTTGATTTCATTCTTTTTTATAAAAAGGTCAAATCGATGTTTTAGACAACTTGTTACTTAGGTTATTTAAAAAAAATCGCCGGCCATGTAGGAAAAGAAAAAATAATAAAATGATTCGCAAGAACGGATAAATAATTCCAAAAATTTAGTTTCTTTAAAAAAATAAATATAAACGTAAACAAAGGTTACGAAATTTGCGGTCTCGAAAATATACCCAAAAATAAACCCGCCATATTAATACTATACCACGGGACGGTTCCGGTCGATTTTTACTATTTCGTTACGCTCATGTCGGTAGATCCTGATAGGAGGATATCCGTTATAGGCGATAAATTCTTATTCAAAATACCCGGTAAAATATATATTAGACTAATTCTACTGGCTCATATTGGGCCTTTGGAGATACAATAGAAATGAGGAATAGGAAATGACCCATTAGAAACGGATTTTTTGGATCAGCTTGACGCTAGCACGTAGTTTAAAAAAAACCCAAATAGAAATCGTTATGAAAAAACCTGTGAACGAACTACGTGTTTACAAGTCGATGCAATTTTTGAAATTATACTCATTTTATTATTTTTTTCTTAAAAATATTAATATTTAAAAAAAATTAATCCCTAAAGGTTTCATATTTCGTGAAATTTTAATATTTAATTTTTTATTACGATGTTGCAATAGACGATAGATATATTTTTTAAGAATATTTTTTTTATCAGGCCTGGCCATTCTAATGCGTCTGTTTTACGTTCACCCCGGTACGTTCGAATCCTGTTGCCAAGATTTGAGTGACAACAAACTGCTTATAATTTCACCGGGTGGAGCTAGGGAGGCCGTTTTTAGTGACGATTACTATAGCCTGGTTTGGAACCACAGGTCCGGTTTCGCTAAAATCGCGCTCAAACAAAACGTTCCCATCATACCCGCCTTCACTCAGAATATTCGGGAAGGATACCGAGTTGCTACCTTTGGATTAAGTATTTATAAAGAATATATATTTAATTTACCTATTTTACTTGGGTGGGGGGCGTCAAGAAATTAATCAGGTATAAAGGATAATAAAAAATAGAAGACAAACGATTACGAGCGGAGCTCAAGAAAAACGGATTTAAATATTTTATTAGTTTAGTTTGATATCGATTTGTTAATTAGTAAATACGATTATTTAGTCGAAAGTTTTCTAGGAGCTCTGAATTTGTAGTTTAAATAGTGCTAATTAATTAAAGGTTATAGTGCCAATAAGAATGGCTAAAATAAATGGATATGTTAGCGTTAATGTGTTTTTTAGCTTTCAATCATTTTTGAACGCGTTTTTTAAATTAAAAAAAGAATTCCACCATACTTTTGATTTTTTTTAGAGAATACCATGAACTTTTAAATTTAATAAAAATTTATATTCGTTATTTTTTATCTCAAAAGTTAACTGCAAATTCTTCGAGCGGGTTTTTTAAAATAGTATAAATATTGGATTGGTGGCGGGCGGGTTAAGATAAGTCGGTGAATTTTAAGTATTTTTTTGGGCGAAATGGGCAGAACAGGTTTCTATTTATCAAAAATCTTTTTTTTATTTATTTCATAATATAAGTTTGTTTATTAAAATAAATCAAGAGCCAAACCAGCCATTAAAACATTTTGAGATATTTAAACAAATTTTTTAGTTAAATGGGTTGGTTAGGAGATAAATTTAAAAAAGACAACTATTGGTTGACGGGCGTTTAGAAAAAATATTTAAAAAACATATAGGCAGGCTTGTTGTCTAAAACCCGCCCATTCCAGACCTCTAGTTTAAATTTACGAATAAAATATAAATGCTCAAAAATTGTGAAATTAAATATGTATGATAATTAGTGATTTCAGTTTCATTGATATTTTTCTTTATCATATCAGGGCATATCACCATCCATCACTAGCAAAATAAAAATTTATTCCAATAATCAAACATTACATTTTATTCATTTTGCTTTTTAAATACAGTGTTGACCAGATTTGATGGAAAACATTTCCATGTTTTTTTATATTATTTGAAAATAAAATTATTTGACATGCAAAAAAAATTGTAAAAATACCATATTTATATATTCTTATCAATTTTCACAAGCTAATTTTATTTAAAAACGAATTAAAAAAATATGGAAATGTTTTGAATGAAATCTGCACAACAGTGTAGTATATATTTTAAAAAAATTTGCTTAAATTAATAATGTTACATAATTTTTTGGTAGGATCATTTTTGAGCTATAATTACCATTGGTTATCAGTCAACAATTTTTTAGCCTAAAAGCCATAAAATTATATTAAATACTTTATTTATAACAATTATTAAAATTATAAAGAAGAGACTTTGAACAGGTGTAAGATTAGAGGTCTGCAATGGGCGGGTTTTAGCCAACAAACCGGCGCACTCTTTGTTTGAATTTTCTAACCAGTTCGCTTGCCCATAGTTTTTTTTTAAAAATTAACCCTCTCGCCCATTTAACTAAAAATTTTGCTTAACCCACCCGCCAAATATTTAAAAATTATTTTAATTACTGGTTTGGCTCTTTATTTATTTTAATGTATTTTTAATTAAACTTTTAAAATATGCTATATTGTGAAATAAAAAAATTATTAGTTTATAATCACAGTGTTATGATGATTTAATGAAACATATTGACGATTAAATTAAAACCCATCCATATAAAATTATTTTCTTTGCAACAATAATTAAAATAGCACTTTTGAAAATTCTTTTATTACTCCTTTTGTTATTTTAATTTATTTTTGCAAAGAAAATAATTTTATATAGATGAGTTTTAATTTAATCGTCAATATGTTTCATTAAATCATCACAACACTGTATAAGTCTGTTCTGCTCATTTTGCTCGAAAAATATTTAAAATTTATTTATCCATCGTTTTAAAAATATCTTCTAACGTTCGCCACAGCCCACTGTTGAAAAGCTCGCCCGGAGAATAAGCGGTATTGTAGACCTCTAGGGAGGATCAGTCATATTTTGAGGTTAAATAAGTTGGAGCTAGTGTTGTTAAAAAAACCCGATTATTTAAACCTAAATAATATTATGTAAGCCTAGAAATTTGGCAAATAGAAGTTCAAACCTTTCTGCCATCTTAGAGCAGAATCTCCAGGCTTACATAATAATATTTTGGCGGAAATCTTAATCGGGACGTTTTTAAAAATCGTCCATAATCGTGACGGAATGCAAAAGTTCCAGATTTTGGAGAACATACGATTAAAATTTTTTTAATTCCAGTTCCTGGTTATCAGAAAGCTCCGAACATCATTGATATTCCATAACATAATTTTTAGACGACCCCTTTCAATTTTTACTTAATTTAGTTTACAAACTATTTACGTGACCTATATTTTGGGCAAAATTTTAACCTCCTAGCAATTATACTTTTGTAGATATCAGGTGTATGCAATAAAAAAAATGAAAGAAATGGTTTTTTAATGAGTGTCGTTTTTCATTTAATTAATGATGGATTAAAATCTACACGGTTATAAATAATATTAAAATAAAGCATATATTTAATATTTTTAGAAAATTAAATTTAAAAAAATTATTTGGACATCTTTTGTTCAGAACAATATTTAAAACAAAATATCCCATTTTTTTTATCAATCTTACTTATGAAAAGGTTTTCATGTAGATTGATAAAAAATGTTTCTTTAAAAATCGGAGCGACATCTTTTTATGTATGAGGTTTTTTAAAAAAAGATGCCCACAAAATTTTAAAAATAATTAATAAATTTTATTTTCTAAAAATATTAAGTATATGCATTTTATTTAAAATTAAATAGCCGCAGATTTTTTATATTTATAAAATTGTTTATAGAATGGACCCAAATTTAAAAATAATCACTGAAAAGGTTAGAACTCGTGAGTTTGAAACCAAAGAAATCACAAATGGAAAATCTGAAGTATGGAAGAAATTCCTACTTATATTTAATAACAGGGTGAAAATCAATTTTTTTTAAGTCGGACTCGGGTCGGGCTGAAATAAAAAATTGCGCGGTGGGTTTTAGTTGTGAAAAAATAACTTTGTAGGGTCCTAAATATTACTACAAATACACATTACATTTTAATATGTAGTTTTATTAAATACTCAAAAAATATTTTAATAAAATCATTAAAAAAAGATTTTTAACAATGTTTAAATTAAAATTTGTTTTTATGTGATTATTTTTGTAATCATATAAGAAATTATGCTATGCGTTTTTTTTAAACATTTATTATTTTTATAAAATTATGATTTTTAAAAACTAGGGCAGAGTTATGTCCATATATAACAAAACCTGAGCCAAATTTTTTTAAAAATAAATAAATTTAATCTAATTAGCTAATTGGAAAATGACATAATGTTTAAGGATCATTTAAAAAAAATATGGTCAAAATTATTTAAAATGAAGAATCTTAAAAAATCCTTGTCTTGACTAAAAAATTTGATCTCTAAGATTTATGTGTTTATTAAGGCTACCTATGATGTGAGTATACCAGATCTTGAAATGCTCTTCATAATAATGCTCTCTGAATTTTTTCTGTGCTCAAACAGGGATTTATGATCAAATTTTACCTAAAATTCCAATTTTTTTTTGAATTTTTTGATTTTTGAAAAAAATCTTCAGTAAGCTTTAAATAATATATGTCTATTTATTATTCTTTAAATTTTCATTACATTCATTAACCTAGTTTTTTTTCTTACGTTTATTATAATTTTGTATTTTATAATTAATATTATTTTATAATTTCTACTTTTACAAACAAATATAAAAGAAATGAAGTTTTTTTGATAATTATTTTGAATTGTTAAAATTGCATCATAATATTTCCTTATGCTAAAAAAATTCTCAAATTTTGAATGCAAAAAGTATTAATATTAAACGCGTAAATTATTTCCGGTTTTAATTTTTAATATAAGTTAAAAATGTAAGCCCATATCCAGCTTCTATAAAAAACATGCATAGCATAATTCCTTTCATAGCTTATCTGATTTACAATGTTTATTTATTGCAAAATAACATCCATTCCACAATAAACAATTTTTAAATATAAAAATCTTAGGTTATTTAATTGTGAATAGATCTTAGATAAAACAAGAATTATTAAATGAAAATATTTCATAACTGTTATAACAGATTAATTTTGATTTTATGTTGGTTAAATGTAGAATATGATGTGTATTAAGTAATAGAGGTTTAACCAGTCACAATATAAATCACACATAAGTAAATTGTTAATTAAGAAAATAGAAATTACGTAAATTAAATATATGTCAGAAGCTGAAAAATGGAATGGGATTCCCATTGACATTTCGATGAAACAAAATAATTATTGAGGATATTTCTAATATTTAATTTTCAGGCCTTGGTTCGGGCTGTCTCTTAGAGCCCGAGAAAAAAGTCTTAAATGTCCAGGCTCAGGTTGGGCTTCGGACAGTCCTTGTAGAACTCTAGTAATACTCAACTACCATATTAACGAATTAATTTATGTCTTTGAGAGTCTAAAATCAAGGAGGGGGATTTATATTTATTAAGCCAGATTTTTTAAGCATTAGAATTTGTATTTTTTAAAAATCATCAATTTGATGAATAAAATAATAAAACATATATGAATTTTTTTTGAAATATATTTTTTACTTAATTTTCGGTTGCACTTAATTTCTTTATTTGCCAATTTTTTAAAAAAAAATATATACTCCCCGTTCTTCTATAGCGAAAATGTGTCACTCATACGCACATCGTAATTTATTTATTTACCGACAAGATGCAACATAACAAATATATATATATATGTGCTTAGCCTATATCTATATTTTATGTTTGCATTCTTTAATTTTTAAACTTTATGGTTTTTTAGGTAAATGATTAAAATATTTTAATATAGTACTTTTTTTTCTTTATAATATTATATTGGCCGGATATTATTTCTTACTACGAAATGTAATTCTACTAATTACGGGTGTGTTTTATTACGGAAATAAATAATTGATAATGAAAGGCTCCATTTTTATATTGTTTTACAATTAAAATTTATTTATTAAAAATACGTCGGGCTTAAAAAACGACCAGTTTTCGAGTAAAACTTAATGATAATTTTACCAATTTTCACGATTCCATTTGAAATGCATTATAGGCGTTTAAAACCGTCAATTTGTGCCCACTGAGAAAAATCAAGTGGTAATAATTATAGCCAGTTATATTATCATAACCGAAGTTCGAAAAAATATCTTCAAAAATTTTTTTTTAATTAAAACTTTTGATTTTATCTTTAAAGATTTCTATGCATGAAAAATTACAAAGATTTCATTATAAGATTTTTTTTTAATTTTAACATTTTTGGATATTTAAATTTGTTTTTAAAGTATGATTTTCGCTCAATAATTTTTCGAAGGATTTTTCTCAAATATAATCATAACATAAATACTTAGAGATAAAATTTTGTTACATGATTACTTTTTAGGTATATTTCGAAAGTTTTACGAAAAGTACAGGTTACCTCTGATCCCCATATACGGGGGCTTTCCAGTCAAAATGAAAACTTTTATAGGGGAACCATTGTACCCAAATCAAGTATTTCCCTCGTTCGCCGATGGAAATGGAGACGCCATTAAAACTAAGTATTACTCTGCATTTTCGATTTATATTAATTAACTTTATAATCAAATATTTCGATAAATTTTCTTTTATAAAAAAAATTATATTCCGTTGTTAGGTGAATGAACATTATTCATAATAACGAAAGTATTTAGTTGTGAATGATTGGTAGTTTATACTATAAATAACCATTTCGCTTCTAACGTTTAATACCCATCTAAAAGTGAATGGCTACGCGTCATCCGTTTAAGATTTCTCTAATGTTTTATTGTTAAAAAACTTTGTTTACCAATCACAGTAGCACATAACCAGCAGAAAATGATTTTCTTTTACCAGCTATTCGAGACCTGCATTTGGGGCATATCAGTTTTACTATTTTTTTTCTTCTCCTACATTTCATTAATTATTTTTCTCCTTTACTCAGGTTCAATGATTCGGATTATATCGAAAAATTTGTTAACGCCTCGAAAACATCCCTAGAAAATTTGATAAAAGCCCATCAAACCTTACCTGGTAACATATGGAAAGGTTTGGCTCAAAGATTGACGGATAAACCATTCACTCTTGTAACTACTGATAAAGTGTTTGACAAATCCCATCTAACCAAAAAAATTTCTTGAAAAAGGGAACTTATCAATAATGAATTATACTTCTAAATTTTAATTCGAAAATGTGACTTAAGTATTTTGAATTTTTTTGTATATTAATGTAATGATATCATTATTTCTTTTTTAGTTGGTTAGAATTTACTAGCTTTAAATCAAAAAAATATGTTTTCCTTTAAGTGTAATATGGGGATAAAATTAATATTTGTAAAATGACATTCTTATTTTTATTAAGAATTATTTCTAGCTTTAGTCAAAAAAAATTTTTGATTTTAATTATATTATTTAACGTGTATTTTTAAAATTATATTAAGTTCATGAAACTATGATTTTGATTATGTTTTAACAAAAAAATAGAAATATATATATTATATTATTATATATTAATATATTAAAAATCGTGATTTTACCATAGACCAAAGAGAGAAAGTAATCTCAATAAAATAATCATATCTAGCATAAATAATATTTTACTTTTGGTATCATAATTATTAGAGATCTGCAAAAGTACACCGGCCCAAATGAGCTTATGGCCGGGGTTAAAATTTTAAATAATTTACAAATTACGGCAAGGAACACCGACAATATTTTTCTTATTTGTCTGTAGAATGATATAAAACTCAAAAAATGAATTTCCTTATTTAAATAAATTCTGGCTGGGCTAGGCTGACAATTTATTTCAGGTAAGGTTTTTCGTGGCAAATAATATTTTTATTTTAGATGGGAAGAATTAGCCAACTTCATTTAGAGTTAACCCAAGTATATATTTTAGTATAAAATTTGTATTTTTTTTATAAATAATATAAATAAAATTGTTAATTAAGTATCATATATAGATTTGTTTACATAGAACATTTATATAAAATAAACAGCAACATATCATATACAGGAGAAGTTATCCAAAAAAATTCTTTTTCTTTTTCATTTTTTGCAATCTTTTCTCGAAATCTTTCATGGTCGGAGGTATGAAGCCAGAGTTGCTCGAAGCTATATTTAAATAAATAGAACATAAATACCCACATATTAGAGTTTAAAAAAAATAATACCTGGCAATTTAATCGTGGTAGTTAATTTTTTAAGTGACATATTTGTGGAAGAGAGAGAAGATGTAAGGTTCGCATTAAAGGATACAGTATTGTTTGATGATTTATTAACTATTTTTAATTAAAAATTAACATAGTATACATAAATATATATTATAAAATCAATATTTTATATACTGTAAATATCAGAGATTGCGTTTAAACATAATATGATAAAAATAAACAGAAATGAATATAAGGAAAATATTCATCATTAAAAACCAACATTGCAATTAGTTGATGCATTGATACCAAAAAAATTATGTGAAATTAATATTTATAATTAATTTATAAATCTAAATTAAAAAAAGAAAAAAATTTACAGCATCTTTAGTTCTTATAGGTTTTAAAATTTTATGTAAAAATTTTTCATTTTAACTTAAAATATAAAGTTTTTTTTAAAAAAATTTATGGGTTAATTATAATTTGGTCAAGAAAGTATGAATATATCACTGATTTACATATATATCATACCCAAATTAGCGGAAGTTAAGCTAAGCGATCGTTGGCTGCTTATACCTTTGTGCCCACCAAATTTAGGAATCGAGGACGTGGGACTCACTCCAGAACTTTGTTGCATTATATTTGCGGCTAGCCCTGCTAAACCAGTCAGTTTAGGTTTAGTAGATGAACTGCTAGTGAACACGGAGATCGGTGATTTTGTACTGGTCGTGTTGTTAATTAAAGGAATTTTGAGATTTTTGAAGGCGTTGGCATGAGTACTAGATAAAGAATGTTTTTTTTTGATTTGTTTTATGATATCTATGTCATTAGATTTGGATGAAGATTCGCTAGAATTTTTGCTATGATAAATTAGGACAGGCGAATCATCAGATATCTAAGCATTTATTTTAATATAATTTAACAATTTAAATAACTTTCTTATCTTTTGAAGCAAATTGATTCAAAATATCGTCTTCTTTTGAGCTAATAAGCGAGTACGTCGGAGTCTATCCAAAAAAAATGAATACAGAATAGCTTATTTATGTAATATCCCATACTTTGCTATCATCTTCCCGAGATAAACACGATTTGCAATACCATACGAAGCGAGGATCATTAGCGTCATCTAATACTATGGGAGTATGACACTCCTAAATGATATATTAATTTATTATAACATTTTCCTCATTTGAAGGATTTTGATTTTGGATCCAATAATCATAACAGGAATCTAATCATTTATAGAAAGTCTTTATTTTCGATTTAAAAATTTTTATCTCTCAATGGTCCAAAAAAATTAGGACTAATAAAAACAATAAATTTTCTTAATTAAATTTGAATATTTTGTCAAATCAACTCTAGTGATAACTGATTATGTTTAGGATTTAATAAGTGTTTTGCACGTTTGATGGAAAACATTTCCATATTTTTTAAATTGTTTGCAAATTGAATTATTTAAAATAATATTTTACATTCTTAGTTTTTACAAGTTAAATGAGTTTATTAGCAAATAAATTAAAAAATGAAATGTATACCATCAAACATGCATAACACTAAGTGTTGATCTATGAATGTGATTCGCAATGTATGAAGTTGGGTGTAAGTCAAAAGTTAGGGATGAAGTCTTGAGTAATGTTTGCAACAATCCGATCTTTTTTTCTAAGAAAGGAATGGACTATTATGTTGGATGGAACCCGACGATCAGTCCGGTCCGATCTCATATAAGTTAAGTACGAAAAAATCTAACGTTTTTATATACGAATTTCATCAAGCCGATTGTTACACAATAACTGTTAAAAATAGGTTTCTTTTTAACTCTTCCTTATTTGTTAATACTTATTAAATTAACGCATAATAGGAGACCAGGAATGAGCTAAAATTAAGGTAGCTAACAAAATAAGTGCTCTCATAAATAATAAATATAACGAATACCATACTTTTTATATTAAAAAATATTAAATTTATGATAAAATATCAAAAAAGCCAATATTTTTTAAATTTAATAAATAAAAGCATGATAACAAGAGAAATCTAATATTATGATAATAAAATTATACACAACTTGCAATCAGAGATAATCTTATTAATGGCGTTATAAATTGTCCTTGCCAAAATCCCATAAAAAACGCAAACAAAGTGTAAGCCACCCCTACTATGTTAATTAATAAATATAACCGCCATGTTTACCCACATTCTAATAAGTGCCATATTATGAATATTATAAAAAAACAGTATTTGTGTTGAGGTTATCTTTAAATCAAATACCAAAATAGTTATGATAAATTGATTGTTTTTAAAAGCTCTTATAAAAATTCAGATAGCAGTGCTCCAACTAAATTTATTTTTTATTATTTTTATCATATAAACCTGATGATAAAATGAATGGCAATCTTGACATTCGATTAATTGATTTGTAACATCACTATGCGCCTTTCTAAAAGTTTTTATTGTAAGCAATACATCATTAAAAAAATATTTAAAGGTTTTGTAAAATATAATATTGTCAATCATAATTGGAATTTAAGGCTTGGATCAAGAGAAAAACTGAATAAATTCTCTGTTAAGATATTTTGGGGCCTTTTGTCCGTGAATAGAAAAACAATTTAATATCTTCTAAAATTACATTTTGTTTTTGAATTCAATTCTGATAAAGAATAGAACTGTCATGATTAACAACTTATTGGTGTTATGTTCTTATTATCGAATTACCAATGTTTATCTCAAGCTATACCATACATTCCCAGTTCAATAATTGCAATTTATTAAATAGTTTATTTCAAAATAATAAATTATAAAATAAGCTGTATGTTAAGATGTTAAGGTACTTGTAATTTAATAAGTTTTGTTAGTGTTTATTTAAAAGTAGCTAGCTTCCCCATGCGAAATATTGGAGTACTTCAATTACCCGGTTTTTCATCCACTTCAGGTATATTTCGAAAAAAGTTAGATTTTGATGAAGTGATAAAACAAGACACTTTAATCAAAAATTGTCGAAAATGAATTGCGACAGACACAGTAATTATATAAGTAATAATGAAAATCCTACAGAGGAAATTGGTTTTAAACGCAATAATGATTGGCTTAAAATAATGTAACTATTAGATATAATGTTTTTTGTTTAAAACTGAATAAACCCTAACTTTAGTCTCTGAGTCTTTGCGGAGAATAATGGTTATGATGGCGAACGATCAAATATAATAAACGTGTGAATTGTTATGTCAAAAATATGTCGTATTTCAATTGTAAATGTTAATGGACCTTCTTTGGTTTAAACTGATTTGTTTGGAACAATTTCCAATGTATTAAAGATATAAATTTCTAAGTTAATAAAGCGGAAGAAGAGAGAAATAAAAGAAAAGGTTGAAAATGATATCCAGTATTAAGAGAAAAATAGGGAAACTTGCAGAATTCCCGATATTGTTTGCCAGGTGAATAAGGGCAAAAATTTAGAGGAGGTAAAAAGTAATAAAAATAAGGCCATTTACAGGGTTTGATGTCAAGATCATGATGAAGAATGCTATAACTAAGTTTGGCCCTGGTCATAGAAATAGCGTGGAAACATCAGATCGAAGTTAAGCAGAAAAAGTGAAATAATATTACCTTTTCGACTTTTCATTAAATTAATTTGACGCATAGTAGGTAATTTCGTCTTGAGATAAACTATAGCTACGTTAAGTCGCTGTTGTTGGGCTCACTTAAATAGTAAATTTTGGTAAATAAATTTAATGTAGCTGGATAAATAAAAGAATTGACTAGCCCTTTAGTACTGACGTCGCTAGTTTTTTTAACTTCATTTTTTAAAATTTCTAACATTAGAAAATAAGTAATTCTATCCAAATCTAAAATTGGAACAAAAGATTTAATTCTATCTAAAACTTGCAAAAACCAGTATCTTTAAAAAATCTATATTATTTGGGTTAGGGGGTACTACCTCCATGCGCTCCATCAAAGTCATCAATCTTGTATTAGGGTTAGGATTTGTCCGAGATGAAATTAAAATAAATTTTCTTTATCCTTAAGTACCAGTCATTTTTATTTTTTATTCAGCTGCATCCCATCTCCTCTTATTAAACCAGCTAAATTTAATAAAAAGAAGAAATTATGTATTTTTTTTCCTAATTATTAATCACTCTACCTATTATTTTTACAATCTTTTATTTATTTTAAAATTTCCGTATTTTTATATTACCTTATAGTGCGCACAAATTGAACGTTAAAAAACGTAAACGGAGCTATGTTTAAACTGAATCGTTAATTTATATATTTAATTTAATATGAAATGTCTAAATTTAAAACAAAAAAAAATGCTATTACGAATGCATTTAAAATGTATTATTTGCGTTTTAAAATGCTAAATTTATGCACACTATTGCGTACAAAAAATATTCACTAATCAAATTCCTTATCCATATTTGAATAATAAGAATATTATCTGATTTGATTATTCGATTTGAAAAATAAATTTTTTCAAATAATTTTCAAATAAATGTAAAATAATAAAAAGTTGCACAATTAACATATTAAACGCTTATGAATAATATTGAATATTTATAAAAAATTACAAATTAATTACTAATTATTTTGAATAAATTTTAATTATATAAATAATTTGACAGAATAAAAAAAATCTTGAAAATTCAAATCATACAATTTAGTTTCACATTTGTAAAATAAATTGAATATCAAATAATTAGTTTTAGATATAAAGAGAAAGGTAATTATAATTGATAAACTTAATATAACACACTTCAAAATAACCTAAATAAGAACTGCAAAATTATTATTTTTTTAAAAAAATATATATATTTCTTTTTAAACCTATCTCAATTTTATCAAATTATATTATTTATTGCAAAAATATCATTTTTGATCAAATATCTCAAGAAGAAAAACCATTAGTATTAGGATCAATGTCGCATGTAAATTTTTATCAAAATTAAAAAGGTAGCTTTGTAAAGTTATCATTTTGATATGAAATTAAATTGATGTAATTAATTATTTAGCCTTGGCAAGTCAATTATGGCAAAAAAAAATGAAAGGTAAGAAATTTGAGCCCTACAAATTCAATATTTTTGACCTAAGCCTCAAATTTTTATTTTATTAAAAAATATAACGTAGTTTTAAAAAAATCAATTATTTGTATTTCTTAACACAGAGTAAATAAATTACTTGCAAACAACACATTTAATGCTCAGATCCAATTCTAAGGGAATATCTAAGTTTTTAGAATCTTCTACATCTTTTATATCTCCAAATATATCATATAAAAATAAATCAGACTCATTTTTTAAAGCAGTGACTTCTAATATACGCTGAAATTTTTTTATATTTAATATTAAAATAAATTTTTTACCTCTACATAATGTTCTTCTTTTATTATCACCTTTTCAATTTCAATCTTTGGTTTTTTAACTGAATGTGAATTGCCCAAATCTATAAGATCTCTTTTTAACTACCATATATATGCAATACATAAATAAATGATATAAACTTTTTCTATGTTATCTAATGCATCAGTTTCCCTATTAATTTTCACCTTTGATAAATCTGGTATTACATATCAATAATAATTTATACTTCTGTGCTTTTTGATTTAGCAATTAACTCATCTAACAAAGATTTAAGTTGCTGAGCTGATTCCTTGGATCTTGATCTTAAAAGGGTTAATCCTTTTAAAATAATAGGGTCTAAATTCATATTTACATATTACATTTAAATAGAAAATATAATAAATGATATTCAAAGAAGTCATATCTATCAACGTCAAAAGACCTAATATTTAAAGCCTCCATCGTGATACTTGACTGAATGCCAATCGTTTCATTGAAAACTTTTTTACTAAAAAAGTTAACATGTGTCATGCTCAGTCTATTAAATCTCTTAAAGAAAGTTTTATACGATTTAAATTATTCAAAATTTATAAACAAAGAGTGTAATATATGCGATTATAAGCTAAGAAAATTTTTTCATATAAAATTTGATTGCAAATCTATGTGGGAAATACATGAAAATCTTAGAGGTATGAAAATTCTTGATAAATCTAAATTTGAGTTCAATACACTTGTTCCTTCAATTACTATAAATCCAAAAGAAAATTCATATGGTATAAAATTAATTAAAAGCATTATATTGAAAATTCCAAATTTATTGAATCCTATAAAAAATATTGATAATGAACATTGTATATATTTACTGGAACCTCATTATACAAAAATTCTAAAGGAAAATGATTTAAATGTCTTGTCTCTTGAAAAAAATTTGAAATCTAAAATTGAATTTTACAAATTATCTATCAATTATAACAATTGGAAATGTGCAGATATTTTTAAAGCAATTTTACCTTTAGAAAATAATAGTATATCATCATTTAGTCAAATAGGCCATATAATCCATTTAAATCTTAGGGAATGTCATCAGGATTATGGATCGATTATAGGTATTATTTAATAATATTTTCATGATATTTATAACCTTTAAGGTCAGGTGCTTCTGGATAAAATTAAAACCTGCCAAACAGTGTTGAATAAGAAGGACATAATTACACATGAATATAGAAATTTTGAATACGAATTGCTAGCAGGTTTATATTGAAACTATATTTATTGATAATAGTAATAAATAGATTAATCTCTAGACTCCAAGCTGTAGTTGTAATAATTCAATTAGTTTCTATGACTCGAGTTTACACTCAAGTTGTGCCTTTGACTTGGATTCTGAACCTGAGTCATGAAGTCAAATCAAATTTTTATTGTTTTTGTCAGCTAAAATCAATTATATAATATTTAATTATATTAGATCAGTAAATATTGTAAATATATAATAGAACTTTTATTCCATGAATAAAAAAAAATTTTTCTTAAAACTTAGTTAAACAAATCATAAACAACACATTTTCAAAGTTTTTTATTAAATGGAGTATATACATATAATTATTTAAAGTTGCCATTTGTCATATTTGGGATATTCATATGTAGAAAAATATATTTATTTTGAATTATAAGGAACAGGGCTGTGAGCCCTATGTAAAAAAAATGTATAATATATTTTAAATTATAAGGAATAGGGCTGTGGATCCTCCATTTTATAAAAGGTTCAAGTTCTGGTTTAGTTGAATATCTCTGAACTGGGTTCAGCATGTTCCAGAAAAATATACTTATAAAATTTAATAAAAATAACAGCAACATGAGTTTTTTAAAAAAATTTATTTTACTTGGTAAAATATTTTTGCTAAAATCTTGATCATACTATTTCTAAAATTGGCTATATCAAGGCATTTAACAAAACTATATTTAACTATAAAAATTTCCCATATTTTATTTTTAAGTTAGATTAATAACTTTTGGAAAATAAAAACAAAATACACTCAATCATTTGTTAAAGTTATTTGAATATTTTTTTTGAATATGAAATAATGATTTTATGACATTGGTTTAAATATAGATTGTAAAAATCGATTTAAAATTGGATCGGTTATATGAATATCGGGTAATTCACTGAAATTCAGGGACCCGAACCGTTATTTATAACGGTTCAGTTTGGTTACGGTTCAGTATGTAAAAAATTATAATGGTTAGGGTTAGGTTACCGTTCTTAAGAAAAAATTTATAAAGGTTCGGTTCAGCTAATTGTAAAGGTTTATAATGGTTCATTACGGTTAGAAATTTTTTTTTATTGAAGTAACACCATCGTCTAATTTATTTTTATTAAAAGCATCTATGAATTATATATATAAAAAAATATAAGATTCAAAATAACTCATCTTTAAATATATTATTTGAACTCATAAGTAATATATTTTCTAATATAAATGGATTCATATTTGTTCGTTGTGAAGATAACTCAAATTTTAGCACCTAAAAGGCCCTTTCTACAGAAACTTGTGTTGCGGGAACCGCCAGTACTATAAGAGCAAGTTTATATAATCCTGGATATTCAAATTTTTTGTCTTTTTTTATAAGGGTTCTTTTTACTCCTTCAAAATATTATTATATTGGTTCGGTTACGGTTCAGATATTTATAACGGTTTATAATGGTTTTACGGTTCATTCCGGGTCCCTGCTGAAACTTATGAAATTTTTAATATTATATTTTTTTATTTAATCTTTTTTAAATATTATTTTTATTTAAAAATAATAAATAGGCTATCGTTTTGATAGCCGTGGAAATTTATCGATGTAATAATAATTCAAAGTTTCATTAGTCAAAAGTTTTAAGAATTCCTTAATTTTTTTTGTGAAAATTTTCACAAATCTTTAGTTTTACCTTAAAAATAGAGTATATTATTTAAAAATTTTAAAAAGGCATGTGCTATATTAAATACTACTAAGTTAGGACTATTAAATCAAATACTAGATAAATAAGCAATTTATTTGAATAAACATAATGTATAAACTGATAAAAAATAGATAATAGAATTTTAAGGAAAAACATAAATAGTTCTATAATTAATTAATTTACTTAAAATTTTACATATTTATAATATTACGAAAATAAGAATATTCACATATACATAAATGAGAGTAAGATTTTCTTCCAGTAACAAAAATAAGAATATTCACATATACATAAATGAGAGGAAGATTTTCTTCCAGTTCTGGTGATGCTCGCCTTAAGAATATTGAAAATATATATTAAAAAAAATCTTATTGCATCAAAATCTATAATTACGCCAATTGAACGAAAAAAAATATGCAATTCTTAAAACTTTTGAGTAATGAAACTTTGAATTATTATTACATCTAAAAATTCCACCAATATTTAGACGATCGAATAAAAAAAATTTTTTTAAAATATTTAAAAAAATAATAATATTAATTTCCCCGAGTTTTAATGAGTTACCTTTGTATTTGTTGTGAACTAAATTTCATCAAAATTTATAGGGCCAAAAAATCGTGTTTTATATTCGCTTTTATATAAATTCTATTTAACACCCTATTAATTTTTAGATACTATTTGATTTATAATATCATAATAACTAATTATTAATTAACTTGTTTTATAAATTGGAAAATTTGATCACGAATTTTGTTTAAACCCTAAAATGTCATTTATAATATACCAATCAAGCTGTCAAAATTAATTAAATATTTTAGAAAAAATCTGTTACGAATTTTTTTATAATTTTATGTTAAAGATTTTGTATACCAAATAAATGATACTCATTTTCTTATAAAGGTAAGCCAGATACCATAGTAAAAGTGAGGGAGAATGATTTTACATTTCAATTCGATTTAGCTTCCGTCTTTTGGAACCCGAGATTAAGCACTGAACGGGCCAGGATCATCACTAAGGTAACTAGCAATAATAACATTTTGGTGGACCTTTTTTCCGGGGTGGGGCCTTTTGCTATTCCTGCACTCAAGCAGCCTAAAAATCTTTCTTGCCGACTTGTGTTCGCTAACGATTTAAATCCCAACTGTAATTTGCTCGCAAATGCCAAGCTCAACAAAGTTAACATATCTAAATTGCTAGTCACTCATTTACCTGCCGACAAATTCGTGCTCACCGTTTTTAAGCAACTTTATTGGGCAATATCGACAAATCAAACGTTCTTATGTCATACCGATCATTCCAACTCCTTTGAATTAAACGCTAACTCAAATTTAATAGCCGCTACCAATAACGAAACAGATTTTTACAACCAATCCCAGCCCATAAATTTTAAAGATGAACCCATGTTGGGAGATCTTCATTTAGTCATGAATTTGCCCGAAAAAGCCTTAGAAATGATTCGATATTTTAAAGGCTTATTTAGAGACAACAAAGACTGCGAATCCCAGATTTTCTCAAAAAATCTATGCAGAATAATAGTTCATCTTTATTGCTTCATCAAGGATACCGGTGACGCCCTTTTGACAGCAAGAAACGAGATTTTGTCAGTGTTCGAAGAAGCAGAAGACAATTTAGTTGACATTGATCAAATGAATAGCTCAAAATTGACAGATCCCCAGGTTAAGAGACTCAGAAAATATTGTTCCTTAAAGGAGGAAGATATATTGGAGATAGTTTTGATTAGGAAGGTATCGCCTTCCAAGCATATGATCAGATTGACCTTTATAATGCCTCGACAATATATGGGGTTATGATAGGATGAAAGTCGGATTTTACGAATTTCCCACGCTTAAGAACGTCCATTACTTTAGTTATGCTTGAATATTTTATTTTTGATGAATTATTTTTTATACATTTTAAGCGAAGAAAAGTGTAATTTTAATTTGTTGTTGTCGGTAAATTTTATTTATAATGAAATAAAATAATTACATTCATAAGAATTTATTGTCGCCATCACCTATTCGTCTTGTAGTCATAGGCCTAATGATATTTAAGAGTGTTCTAGCGTTTGATAAATTAAACATATAAAATATATTACATAATTAATCTATTACCTTAATATATTCGAATTTAGTGCAACTAGTAAGCAGGCGATAAAAAAAATATAATATGCGAACGCTCGAAATATCTAAACCTTGTGAATCGATTTTGCGCGCCATTTTTGTCTTGCTATCATTTAACATAATTTGCCAAAACGCTCTGGAATAGCTTTCAGTTCTTTTTAACATCTCGCTCAACTTAATTCTATTTATAGATCTTTTCATTTTCAGTATCTATTTAGGACATATAAATCAATAACAAAACTTATTTTCATTTGTTTAAAATTTTTTAATTACAATTTAAATCCAATCGCACTATTTACAAATGTATTCCACTAATTATCTCCAAGTTAATTAATTTATCATAAAATCAAATATAAATCATTATCTGCCCTTCACCTCTCCACCTCATCTCAAAACACCCTCCCCCTATAAAAATTTTTTATGACCTATTATAGAAAAAACTCCAACACTTAAATTGACTAGCAATTTACTCCTTTTTATAAAATGTGCAGGAGGCCGATGCCACCCGATGAGAAATAATCTGACCAAGTATTCTATCTCTGATACAAAACTTAAATGAAGTATTTAATATTTTAATTTAAACGAAAACACTCCTACACATCTAGTGTCTCTTTTATCGTCTAAGGTAGCGATATTCAGCCTATTTTCGGTAACTTCACTCCTAAAAAATCAAGAGGTAGGAAATATTTTACTGTTTATTTTCACATCATGTTTTGTAATCAATAGAATAAAATAGATAAACATGATTAAATTATCAAAGTTATCATTAAGAGAGAATAAAATAGATATTTTGTGGAGATTTCCTTCTCATGAGCTTTTTTAAAATTTGGACCAATAACGGAGGTCTGGACCTATATCCTAGAAAAAATTGCCAATGGGCCGTGGGCTCTAGTCTAAAATTTTTTGATTTGCAGGCCTAGTATAGATGTTGATCCACCACTAAATTGAATCTCATCTATGTCAATATTGATCATAAAAATAAAATATTTTTTAATTTCCTTCCAATATGTATACAATATCCATGCTTAAATACCCTTCTACTAATTAATGCATTCCTTGCCGCAATAGCTTCACTGGACCAGGTATGATTAGAATCTATTACTATTTTATTAATAATTTTTATGCTATAAATCTAAAAATGTGATGAATATTTAATAAAGACTGCAGGTCCTGATATTGGCTCTGAGCGAGCCTTTTTAATAATATAATTTTTTAAAATCCGTACCTGGTTTAAATTATAAAATATTACAAAACGCGTTCGGACCGATTTTTAAAAATAAATATTAATCGGAATATAAGCTCCCGTGGAAATTGGTAAATATTTTCATCTTTTTAATATCTTAAAATTAGAAAATGTAACCTACAGAAAACCGATAAAAAAAATTATTAATAAATATTTTCGAAAAGGGTATTTATACAATTAAGTGGAGATCTTTGGAATATACAGCAAATTCAAATGTAAATTATTGTACACAATCAGCCAGGATATTTACTGGGTGCAAAATGTCTAATCCCTTTATATTATATTTAAAATGTTAGCAGAAAATTATCCAGAAATAGTTTTATTTAGAAAATAATGTCTATGATTGTGAGCAAAATATAGATTTGATTGATTTTTTAGCAATATATTTGTATTATAATAGGTCTATAATAAAAGTAATTTAAAAAAAAATACATTTTGTCCTATTTCATCTAAATTCAATGGATAACTCAAATAAATTTTGGATGCAAACTGTTCCCGCCTCCCTCTCCTGTCGCTAACGTGACGCTGTACACAACATTAGAAACATAGAACCCATTCTTAATAACATGCATGCCCATCTTTCTCATAAAAACGTACATGCTGCATTAAGAAAAAATCACCGTGATAAGGCGCCAGACACGGCGAAACCTTTCTAAATATTTGGCGAATATATTTTGATAATGCTATCAGTAGAATCAGTTAAAAGGATCTTGATAAATTTTAAATCTAAGAATCATTCATAATGCCTGATCATTTGCGAAAATAATTTAAATTGGAAAAATTGAAGACCAGAAAATTCTATCCGTTTTTTCTTTTCAGATCATGACTATTATTGAAAAGAGAATATTATAATTTTTTGAACAAATTAATCCTTAAAATTCCTATCGAAAACCATATCTTGTCATACCAATTTTACAAAAAGTAATTCCAGGAATTATTTTTGCGTATCATTTAAAAATGAATTTTGAAAAGATAGTGTTGGCGGACACTATATGAATTTTAAAAAAGCTATATAAATCCAAATTGTATGTGCAAAAAAATTAAATGACATTTTGCTGGGACCTCATAACGAGTATTGATTCAGGTTTAGATAAAAAAAATAAAGCTTCGATTCGTATAAATAATATCAAACATTTAAATCATTAAAACCTTGTTCGACTTTTTAGCATACAAATATATTAGAATTATGTAATAAAAAGAAGCACATTAAAAAAAACACTATTCCCTAAAAAATAGTATACCTAATGAATATATTTCAAATTTTTTTTGTAAAATTATATTTATAAGGAGAAGAATTACATTTTCTATAGTTGAGAGCACTTCTATTCGCTAAACATGGGTAGCTGGCACCGTCAAATGCGTTACAAATATTTAAAAATGGTTGCTTATCAATCAAAACTGATTTTAATAATCTTTAAAAGAGTTAGGATATCAAAAGTTTCAATCCAGTAGACCATTTTATAGGTTCAGGTTCGAAAAAATTTTTAACGGCTCGGGTTAGGTTTCTGTTCTGTAAATAATACCGGTTTAATGATTCATATTGGATCCCTGGTTTTTTGTCATGATACTCAAATTGCTTATATTCTTTTTAACTAATATTTTTTTAAAGAAGGGTTGAGCAAATATTTTTGGGACCAATTCCATATATTGGATCGTTAAACATGAATTTACTTCTAATATTTTGAGTCTCCCTTTTAAAACAATATAAGAAATACAGCCAAAATGATTAAAAATGGTAAATTGTAAATTCCTGGCCGTGTTGTAAAATAATCAAATTTCCATCTGTGCACATCTTTGGTATTTTTCTTATGAACTCTCGGTTATAGCATAGCATATCAATGTGAGTCATTTCATCAGTAAAGCAGAGTCTACTGAATGGGTTGGGTGTAGGAGACATCTCCATATATCTTTGATGGATTAGGGAGGTTCCATGTAGAGAGTAAAAATATTTACGGTACAGGGGGTAAATCTCAAGCCTGCTGTTTTCTGTTTTTCCATTCTTGCGTAGACTCTGAAGTATGATGTTGAATGCTATTCGTCTGTCTCACAAGGTCTGGCGGCGAAGCCTATTTACTGGACGTCTATTTTAAGATAGTTATTGGGATTACACTTGAAATCAATTGAGTTTTTAAGTCATTCGAAATTTCATCAAAAGTGTGTTGAAGTGGAAAAAGCTATAGAGTATTTTAGACGCTTTGAACTAAGTTTGTATTTAAAAACAAAATTTCTTATCTCGATACTAAAGATATTTTATTTTTCTTATTAACCATTACGAGCATAAAATTTGCCTTAGTGGATTCATAGTGCTTGAATTGGTACTCAATAATAGAAGCTTACTTTTTTGTTTTATAGAAGGAGAGAAGTTTATTTGTCATTTAAAAATTAGGAATATTAAACATTCATGTACTTTAATCATTGGCACAATGCCAACGGCAGAGGCAGCGCCGCAGTTGAGTAAGAATTGAAAAATATATATCATCAAAGTTTTTCATTGATATTCGGCAAATTCACTTATCTATCGGAAAAATACAATCATGACCTCATTAGTTCATTAATACCATAATAATACATGATAGTGTGATTCTGGTATATGTTATTAAATTTTAATTAAATATATTTAAAAATCTCATATTTTATTTTTTATCTATAGAACCATTTTGAATAAAAAAAATTGAAAACTTTTAGGGAAGGGATAAAATTTAATTATGATAATTCAATGTTTATTAAGAATAAGGTTCTCGAAATGTTGATATATGATGTGCTTGCATTAGCCATAAGAACTAGCCTGATATATGGAATTGATAATATATCATTCACCGTTTTAATCTTCCTCAATTTCAGAAATTTAAAAGGCAATTTAAAACTTTTGATAAATGTATAAAATTTAGTTAGAGAAAAGAACACTTGGGTGGGAGCATTTTGAATACTACCATTTTGTAAGATAACTCAAAACTCTCACCAGCATAACGGGCGGCAAAAAGTAATAATAGACAATTTAATCCTATGGAGTATATGTATAGTAGGGTATTAGTATAATACTGAATCACATGAAATTTCATAAAATTCTACTACATATTTATACGTTTACGTATATGGTTTATGATATAAAATGATATATCTCCATATTAGTGTTGTTAAAAATTCCAATTTAGCAAAATATATACAAAGTAAACAAATAGAATTTGATCTTTATATTTAGAAAACAAAACAGTTAATATATACAAGAGCATAAGTTTAAACAGATTTTCTTTTTTTTACTTGATGTCATTACATAATATAATAAAACACATAATTAAGTTTTCACGTACATACATATACAGCATTAATAACTTTGATTAAATCTTTTTTTGTTAAAGACGAATTTTTCCTCTATGCCTATGGGTATATTATGCAATTATAGATTTGACGCATTGATGAACCCACTGTACAATGTTCTTCGATATAAATATTATTGGAGACTGTTAATTTCGTCACATTGCCTTCCTTATAATAAAAATATTTAGAAAAATATATTTGTGATCCTTAGCAATTATATCTTAATAAAAGCCATAAATCCTAACTTAAATTGATCTACCCTGCATGTTTAATTTTTATGAATGAGCGATAGTAACTGATCATTTACTTCACTCACCCATTGCAAATATCTTTTTCTTAAGGAAAATACTAGCAATAAAACATCTTTGGAAGTTATTTTCTCTTAAATTATTATGATTTTTCATATTTAAATTTGTTCCGATATATCATCAATTATTTTTATATTCTATTCAGTGACTTGTTCTCCCCGGATCCTGGCTACTTGAGCCTTATCCTAAAATATTACTATTATAAACCCGAGCTGGGCCTAAAAAATGGAAATTTACGAAACTGTGTCCAAAGTTAGTTAACAAAAGTTCATAACTTTTGCGAATTTTAATTTTAATGAAACCGTATGTTAATTAATAAAATTTTCTAGAAATATGTTTTGGACATATCTTTATTTTATGTTTAAAATAGCTTATTTATTTATTTTCATCAAGATTTTGAAAGTTTGTGGATTTAATATTTTGATGTTGGGTACCCACCTTAAAGTAAGAAAAATTTCATATACGTGTGGGCCAAATACTTTAAATAAATTTAAATTATATCCATTAAATCTGATCTAAATTAAATACCTACAAAATATAAAATATAAGCCTAATGAACGATGAGTAAGTCAGATTTTAAATCTTATTAATAATAGTTGCTAGATTAACAAAATTTACATAATTAGATCGGCTAAATATTCAATAAAAAGATTTTGCGGGAGGACATTTTAAAACATATAAAGCAGGTTTTGAAGCATGTTTATAGTAATTTTTATTTATTTCCAAATTTGTAATTCGACAAATTATTTTTTTACTGGAAACAGCCTCAAAAACCCCTTTGAGAAAAATGTTATATTTGGAAATACCCTTATACGTGTTTTTATTTATTGACAAAAACTAAACGGGACTAATTTCTCACAAGTATATTTAGGAAAATAAATTAGGCTACATCTAAAGTTGATTTTCTTTTCGTAAGAAATCATGCATGATACAAGTGCCCTAAGTTTGAGTAATATTCTGATGCATGTTTATACTTTGTCTTAGCTCGACTAATTTAGTGAACTAATTTATTAGTATGTCCAAGAATTTAAAGCAAAATTAACATAATTCAAATGTGTTAAATATAAAATATTACACAAATAACATGATTCCGAAATTTGGGTCACGAAAATTAGCTACTAATTTTAGTTATGCAACTTACTCTTAATAATTAAAACGGAGTTCGTAACTAATTATTTAGTCTAATCTAGAACGAGATATTACGAAAAGTAAAATCTCATCTGTGGGTGGGTACAGTACAGCGTTAAATAATCATATTTCTTTTTATAAATATATTTCTTTCTTTTTAAAATAAAATTTAAATGTTTCATACTATCTGAGATAATTTTTGAGAGCCACAATGATCAAATCCAAAAGATTTGGTGAAATTACGTTGGTCCGTTATTTGGTGAAAGCATTCTCCATTTTCGGGGATTTTGATTATCCCGGTAAAAGGTCTCAAGAATAATAAAGATATGGTGAAACTATTACGATCACATGTAACTTTGGCTAAATTTATTTTCAAACATACAAAAAGTATAATAAAAATAGAAGTATACAATTTTTATTAATTATTATAGCTAATCTCTTAATTTCGTGGTGGCCACCATATCTCTTAGCAAGGCCGTAATCCCAAATTTATTGGGGAGAGGAGGGATAGTTGTTTTGAAAAAATTTGCCAATATAGTTTATTTTAAATAAAAATACTTCTATACAATTATAAGGGCATGTTAACCCTTCTATCATTTCTAAACAGCTCTATTTAGCCATTTTTTTAGCTTCCTAAACACCATAAAAAGAAATAGGCTAATAAGATTTGCCACTTCTCTTTTTTTTATTTATACCGAAAGAATATTTAAATAACAACTAATATTTATTTATTTAATGTAAAAATTTAAAACAAACCAGAGTAAGTTGTCAATAGTTTAAAAGCTGAATAGCCTAGCCTAAACAGAAATAAGTTTCAATAATATTCCGAGCGACATAGCCTTCGGACTAATTATCTAGTTTGATATCATCAGTTATGAAATTGAAATTATAGATAAACAAATTGTTTTAGATAAAATTAAGTATAATAAATATATGATATGGAGTCATATTTTTAAAATACGACTCACCTAAATTCGTGTATTTATATATATTTACAAATAAATAATAATTTATAAAGTAGTTTTTTTTAAAAAAAATTTATTTAAATTTGATCAGATTAGGATATAAATAATATTCTAAAATTGAAAAATAAATATTTTTAAAAAATCGTTTTAACATACTTGTGAATTCTGTATTATTTATCCTGATTGGACAATCCTGCAAATATTATATAAAAAATTATTTGTAATACACATAATGATATTATTATTCAAAATCAGGTTATTATTATTAGCGTAAAATGAACTTCAATAAATTATTCTTTCCATTTTTTTAGCTTAAACAAATCTGATATTTGTTTTTTTTAAATCATTTATTGAATGCGTTTTTAAATTTCAGCTTTTTATATAAGATAAAACCCCTTTGAATTTCAGACAATTCCATTAATTATTATGTATATTAACTATGATCATTAGATAAAAACTAGTATAAATTAAGAGTGTAGTTATTATCACGGCAAAATTAATTTTACGTGCGGGATTAAAACGGGAAAATTTGATTTTGAATATTAAAAAAAAACTTGGAATAATAATGAATTAAATTAAAAAAAAAAAATTGCTTTCTAAATTTCCAGATTTGCTAAACCCCTTATATAATATATTTCATATTAAGTATATAATTTAGAGAGAGAATGATTCCAAATAATAAAACTATGAATCGACATAATTGTAAATAATGTATTAATTTATACATTTGGCAGAGATCGTTTATATGGAACAGCTTGTGGTGATAGATCAAAAACCCTTCTCTTGGTAGTGTAATACTTTCGGATGTCATATCTAGGAACTGCGCAGCTGAAATAGTAAGTTATTTGGATGTCTCCATATTTTAACATAATGTTAGATGAGAAGTGAACTTGTGAATCTTCCTGTCATATTTTTTATATAAATATAAATAATATAAAATATAAGTTTAAAATCAATTTTTGCAAGTTTTGAAATTAAATTTCATAAGTTTGAAAAAATACTTTTTAAGGTAAAATTTTATTTACACTAACTATTCCATAAAACAAAACTAGACAATTTCTTTGTAAGTGTAATATGGATTAAACACCCTCTTAAGAATCAGGATAAATACCAAAATATATTATTATAGACATGTGCAGCGCCGAGTTCGACACCAAATCCGACATGTTATAATTCTGTAAAAAAAATATTATATTTGAAAATAGCATCATAATATGCAGTGCTATTTTTTATTATTGTAAAATGAAAAATGTTGCAATCGATACTACCAAACAATAACGAATTATTTAATCTATTCCCTCCATCCCACCATCTTCTTTCTTCCTATAACCCTCTCAAGTAATGTTGGTAAAAACCCGATTTGGTCGATTCTTAAAAAGGGCCCGATAAGTTTGGAAAATGATATTACGTATTTGCTTATAGATGTTAGATAGGTTAGGATTTCTATTTGCCAAATCTCGACTTGCATAATTTTTATTTTGACCAAAATTTTAATCGAGCAGTTTTTAAAGATCAACTCAAATCGGTTTTTAACAATGCTACTTCTCAAGATTCGAAATAATGTTTTTTTTTTAAAAAAGAAAAGAAAGATAGACATATTTAAAACTTTATAGCTGGCAATTGTCGTTTTACAATCGTAATAAGGTATAAATAGGGAAACAGTTTCCATTTCATAAATTTGCAACGAGCATTCGGATCCTCTACCGATTAACGTGATGTTCAATCGAAAAGGAAAATCGAAAGTCACCAAGATTCGATCTTGTGTGCAGTAGTGGAAAGCTATTTATTTTTTTTTGAATAAGAAGATTTAAAAGATACAACTCACTATGGATTTATTTAGTTTAAATATAAATATTATACCTGCGGTTTGATTAATCGAAGGCTTATAATATGCGATCGTATGTGGCTTTTCTATATTGGTATCTAAAAATAAACATAGAATTTTTTTAAAATTTAATAGAAAAAAACTCCTTCCATTATTTTTTCTTTCCCTTGCATCATTATTGAAAAAGTTCGAAATCTCTGAATTTTATATCATTTACCAAGGGAGATTTATAAATTTAAAAATATGATTTGACAGGCAATGCATTTCAAAATGTGTAGAATACATACCTTATCAACAACATAAATTCAGACAATTATACCAAAATCTTTTGAATATTTTTTAAATTTATATGAAAAATCTACATAAGTTCATATAAATTTTGAAAAAATTACTTCAAATGTTATAGGCAAAATTGTCGGAAATTCAGAGCAAGGATACTCTATACATGTAGGAATACTTGAATGTTTTAAATTGAAAGGTTCTAAATTCCAATGGATTTCATAATATATATCAGAGACCTGCAGGCCTTGTCCGGGCCTAAAAATTATTTTAAAAAAATATCCGGGCCGTGCCGGGCACTATATTTTAAAACCAAATATTTGAAATCTATAAAAAAAATCCGAACCGGTTCGGACCGAACCGGACCGAAAAAAATAGTTTAAAAAAAATCCGGGTCCGCACGGGTCGGACCGTACAAATGATACATATGCAGGTCTCTGATATATATATATATATATACCTTTTTTAATGATATAATCAATTTTAAAAATAATTTTCTTTTTGCGAATTCATATATAAGGATACTATGAAAATTATTAATAAAATTTATCAAACACTTTTGAACAACGTTTAAAATTGCACTCCTGGATGTCTGAGGATACCCATTTGTCACTGCGCATTGCCATCTCCCGCTATCTTGATTCATTAATGCATTGTCAATAAGCAAATTGTAAACACCCTTGTTTTGATTTCCGATATAAGAATACCTTATGTTTTATTATTTAATTCCCATTATACAGTTAATGAAAAGAGACCTGCTTAAAATAATGTAGTAATTAATCATATTTTGGATTTACGCATTGAAGAGGTTTCCTCTTTACAGAATATTCTTACAGACAATTAAAATTTAATGTCAAAACTCATAAGTTGTTTTTTGGGGTCAGACAAATTCTGGATCCTGTGATCAGAAAAATTAGGTCAATTTTTTTTCCTTTCTTAGCCACCCCTCCCCCTTTTCCCCTCTATAAAATTAGACAGATTATGACTGCCTGTCATTTAGATTTTACTGAAAAGAAGAGGGAACTTTAAGTCTGATAGTAAATTCGTAATTTCAGTTTTAAAAACCAAAACTTAGGCCATAACCACTGCTCCACAGTTTAGCCCTTTAAATTATTTCCTTATTTAAATAAAATTATCATTGTGTTTTGATGAGTTTTAACCAGGGACCCGCACCGTTATTTATAACGGTTCAGTATGTAAAAAATTATAATGGTTACGTTTTGGTTACGGTTTCTTAAAAAGAAATTTACAAAGGTTCGGTTCAGCTAATTATAAAGGTTCATAATGGTTCATTACGGTTAGAATTTCTTTTTTTTATTGAAGCAACACTATCGTCTAATTTATTTTTATTATAAGCATCTATGAATTATATATAAAAAAAATATATAAGATTCAAAATAACTCATTTTTAAATATATTATAAGTAATATATTTTCTAATATAAATGAATTCATATTTGTTTGTTGTGACCATAACACAAATTTTAGCCCCGAAAAGGCCCTTTCTACAGAAACTTGTGTTTCGAGAACCGCCAGTACTATAAGAGCAAGTTTGTATAATTCTGGATATTCAAATTTTTTGATTCCTAAAATATAAAAATTGAACCGGTTTGAACCGGTTTAACGTTTTTTTATAAAGGTTCTTTTTACTACTTCAAAAAATAATTATATCGATTGGGTTACGGTTCTGATATTTAAAATGGTTTATAATGGTTTAACGATTCGTTACGGTTCACTCCGGGTCCCTGGTTTTAACATAAACCTCAACTTAAATAACAACTTGGTTTTATTATTATATAGTTTTAAAAAAAAATAGTATATATATATATTTCTATAAAAATAGATTTAATATAAAATTCATTTTCTTTTACCTATCGTTATTAGTTAGATCATAAAGCGCGACTCCATCTTTAACCCAGAATGCTCTGCCGACATCGGGTCTAATCACGCATTTTAATATCACACTCCCTCCAACACTTATGCTAACATCTTCTGGTTCGTGTAGAAAGGGGGAATTTTGACATAATATATCTAATTTGTAATAAATCATAATTACATTCGTAATAGTAATTAATAAGGAGTTATATAAATATTTTTTATAAAGTCAGATTAATTTTTTATATGATAGAAAACAGTATTTTGAAAAATATGTGAAATATTTATCATTTTAATTTTAAAAAAATGAGTTTTTATAAGTAATCGTGTTTTATTAAAGGGGAAATTACTATCATTGAAGAGTTCCCATTAATAAATTTTGTTTAAAAATGATAACTAAGATAGATTTGGAGCTATAAGGTCATGAGAAAGATTGTATAAGGATTTCTTTTTCCGGAATAAATCAGGAAAACCATATAAAGATAAGGACTAATTATGTTGATTATTATGATAACAAAAAATGAATTTCGAAGGGAGGTTGGACTATTTTGAACATTTAATCATCTTTGGAGAACCGGTTTAAATAAAATAAGAGAAAAACTTTCTGCGTAAATAAACTCATTACAAGCCGTTAAAATAAAGTCACAGACAGGGGCGAGGTGTTTAATAGCATTCAATAACTAGTTATAAACGATTCGACATGAGATTTTCGATATGGTTTTACTCCCAATTTGTAATATCATTTGATTAGTTTAATTTTTTTTTGAAATATATCTTGTTAACTAGTCGATTATATCAGCAGTTGGCCAGAAAACACTTTTATATTTGTATATCTGACTGAGATCATAGTCATGGGATTCTTAATTATAAAAATATTTTATATTTGTATTTTGAAATATCGCATAGCTTAAATTTTCTAGGATCCATCGTTGTAGGTATAATTAAGGGGATTAAAACGTGGCTTAATTATTTGGATGAGGAGGTAGCCTTAAAGGAAATTATTTCCCCGTATTATTAAGGTTTGAAGGGTTCCAAGGTGGTACCCGCATCATTTTTTTGGGGGAGGGAGGGGTAAAAATAACTTTTTAAATATTTTTATAAGATAATTAATTTTATAAATTAAAATTTTGAGTTTTACTCGCCTCTATTGAAAATTAAATGATCTGAGTAATTAAGAGATCCCATTTAAAATATTATGTGGAGTGAGAAAGATGGGTTAGAAATCCAATTTTCAATGCTTTTAATCAACTAATTTGATAGCATTATTTATAATTATTTTATTTATTTTTTTTGTAAATCAAAAGGCATTATACAAGTTTATGGGTTTATATTTTTACTTTGGAGAGCATAGAAAAGGCTGAGGAATATTTGAAGATGCGATATCGAAATCTTTTTCATTTATTCTAGATTTTTTTTTATATAAATAAATATCCTTTATATGATCTCTGTAGTAATCTATAGATAACCAAATCAAAACACATTCCAAAATGGCTTGGAATGACTTTAATTAAAATCATTTTTAATAAAAGCTTATAATATGGAACAAACGCTTTTAATTGTAATAAAATATATCCTTTTCTTACTGCAAAAAGTCTTTTCAAAACGAGATAAAACCAAAAATATAATTATAGTTTTATATTTAGTCATTTCATCATTCATTTAAAATGATCTATATATATATTATAATATAATAAATAATGTTTTTTCATTTTTAACCATTCTCTTTATGATTTTCTGGCAATTCATGACTTTGTTAAACTCATATATGAATTGTCAGCCAGTGCACTTAACCCATTCCAATTTATCCTCGTTTTTCCCAAATAAAGGATTTATATTTTCATATAATTGAAATTTTCTAATTATATTTTCTAAATTCATTTTTAAATAATTTAATAAAATAGAAAAATCAAATTTAATAAGAGCTTGAGAATGGCGAGACGAGAGTTTATAAAAGAATGGATAAAAAAATTATATTACGATATATACGATATAAATTTTATTTTTAAAAAAATTAACGCTTTCATGTATAAAAGACGCACTTGTATTGGAAATACGCATGCACATGGCAAGTGAGGTTTTTAAATCAAATTAAAAATATGAATTATAAAACTTGTCTAATTTGGGCATTAGTTAGGAATCAAGATTTCTGCCCAAATTAAACAAGAAAGTGCATATATTGAAGTCCGCCATTGAAAGGCATTTAAACTAAATGCCTTAAATGACGTCTGCTACAGCCAATGAAATTGATTACAATGACTTCAATTTCAATGTATGTACACTTATAATAAATAAAGTGACAGCATAGGTTTATACCTAAATTATCAGGATGAGGCGAAAAAAAATTATTAATCACTTTTTTAGAATATAAATAGAAATAAATTGACCTTCTGGCTTTTAATAATATTTCATTGACATCAATATAATAAAAATAATTGTTTTAAGCATAAGTGCTCATATAAGGCATATTCAAAATGATTAATATGATTATATATATAAATATATTATCTATACCTATCATATACTTTGTGGCCAAATTTTAACGTGGAATGATGTTTATTTAAATAATTTTAAAAAAATCATTTGTAACCAAAATGTTCCAAAGTTTTAAGTGCTCAAATTAGGAAAAATTTTACTCATAGTATAAAAAAAATGAAAAGGTGGTTATAAGTCAATTCCTATAAAATGTTAAAAGAGGTTTAAATTCTTGGATTTGACACTTTATTCAATTTCAACTATGGCCTAGGCCTGGTAAGATCACTCTTATAACAAAAATATATTAGTCTTATTTAACAGGTTGCGAATAAGAGATGATAGTCCTTCACAAAATATAAAAAAAGTTAATATGTGTGATTCGTAAATATTTATTATATGTTATATATATATAAAGCATATTATTGAACTTGTCTAATTAATATACAATTATTTTTAAAATCAATTGTGTAGCTATTTGAAATAGCATAAAAATTGCTAAAAGGAACCTTACGTAGAAGCCAATCTCGTTTTACAATGTATTTCTTATTTATTTAACCACCCCCCCCCCCCTTCTTTCGAAAAAAAACTATACGAGATTATATTTTTATTGATTATACCTTAAATTTGTGAGGCCTCCTTTTTCCAAACGTGTTCATTTATAATATCCCCTGTTATTAATTAAAACTTAGTTAAGGATAAAAATTAGCTTTAAAATGAAAGGTTAATTATCTAAGAAAAAATTATTGCATTTTAATTAAAGCTTTGAACATATTTTTTTTTTTTTAAATATGTGCTCTTTCCTGATGATAATTGATAAGTTTTTATCGTGAACTTAGATACCCTTCAGCGACCATAGACAAAGATATGACATGTTAATGTATTAATATAATTTTACAATCATATATTTATGATATAAATAAGTATATAAATATAGAAATGCTATCCCTTATATGATAAGTTTTAATAGGACTTATTCCTCCCATCCTAACAAACTTAGACAAATTTCTAAAAAATAATAGATTTTGAACCATTTCAAATATTTTATTTTATAATTCTCCTTTAAGGAATAAAAAAAAGGGGGGGGGGGAAGTTTTTGATTCTGTAAATTTGTTTGAAAACGGTGTATTAAACTTTTCAAATCTATGAATCATAATGAATAAAAATTTATTATATTAAATTTTAATAGTATATTAAATGCCCTGATAGATTTTAGTTTTTCGAATAATCTTCCAATTCATGAAATCATTAAATATTTTACTTTAGGACATAATTTTTAAAAAGATAAATATTAAGTTATCAAATTCATAAAATATATAATCAACTTTCTTTCTATTCTTTTCGGAGAAATCGATAGCATAAATCATTGTATTTTTTTTATTATATTTAATGGCTATTGTCCAGGGTAGGTCTTCAGAAAATCTAATCGAATAATGAGATATTCGAATCGAATATTAAAATTGTATTCTGATGGATCAAACATAGATTTTTTTTCTTCAAATATTATATTATATTGTAGTGTTGATAAATGGCTCGATTTGATCCGATTTTAAAAAACGGCCGACTCAATATTTTATCCGGAAATATTGTACGCAAGCCTGAAGATTTTGGTCATAGATGGCAAACAGGTTTGGACATCTATCAACAAAATTTCGAGGTTTAGGCAATATTTTTCTGGCCAAAATATTTAATTAGCCGTTTTTAAAAATCGGCTCAAATCGAACTGTTTAACAACACTAATTACATGCATAATAAAAAAAATAAAGCATTATATTGCATAATAATTCGTAAAAATTCTAAAAATAAATTTTGAAAAAAAGCTATTCTTTCAGGCATAAGTTTTTGTTTGTGTCCAAAATGTCAAAAAATTAAATTCACAAACTTCCGATACTTCATCGAAAAAGTAGAACTAGACTTTATTTAAAAATAAAAACTTGTCTAAAATAAAATTCCAGAAAATTTAAAAAATTTATTATACTATTTTCATTAAAATTTTAAAATTTCTGAACTCTTTGAATTTTTTTTTTTACAAAATATTTCGGACATCGCCTTAATTTTTTGTTATCATATTTATGGCTATTAATTTATTGATGATATGGAAGAATTTTAGGAAAAAAATAAAAATTTATGAAAAAGTGGATATAGAATACTATAATATTCAGGCAATTAGTTGTTTTTTTTTAGTTTCAGAAAATTTTAAACAAAAGCCCAATAATAAAAAAAAATTAAATATAGTTAGTGGCGGTGTTGTTAATCGGCCCGATTAAGATTTTAGCCAAAATAATATTATATCAGCCTGAGGATTTTGCTCATAAGTGACAGAAAGGTTTGGACCTCTATTTATCAATTAAAAATGTACTCTTGGTCAATTTTTTTGATTATTTGTATATTCGATATGAAAATTGAATATCGAATAATTTTCCATAGGCCTAGTATATGTTTTAACAAATACTTAAGATAATATCAGGTTTGAATGTAGCGTGTAAGGTATTATAACTTTTTAAACTTTCACTTCTTATTTACGTAAAGATAAAATATGTTAATTTTAATTTACGAAACTTGTATAAAGATAACAGGATATTAGACATTATTCAAAGCTACCCCTTCCCTCCCCCAAATAAAAAAAACAAATAACTCTATGAATAATATATATTTTACCTACTAACTATAAGAGTGTTTTTTTTTTAATTTATTTGAAATAGGCGTGAGCCATTTTTATTTTTTTATATCAAATATATAAGAATAATAAAATTATTAAAGTCGCCTTCACAATTAAATAAATTCTATTAGGCAATACCAATAGGAATTCTTAACTACTCCCTTTCCATTGTTATTTCTTTGTAAATTCTAGTCTCAATATCGGGCATAAAAAAAATATCTTTAAATCACTTTTTGAGGATTTTTAAAAGTTAATACCGAATTTCCTTATTATTATTTCAGCACGTTTAATAATTTAAGATAATTTAATCATAAAAATTTTGAGGAATATTTAATTTATAATATATAAAAAAATATATGGAAAAATTTATATAAATTATTACAAATTTGTCTTGTCCGAAATTTATAGTAAGTATTATGATCATATTTTTAGAATACATTTCTGATAAAAAAATGTCCTCAATAAATAATATAGTAGAATAAATAACACATTGTCGGAGAAAACACATCGAGACTAACATGGTTTTAAAATAAAATTACTATATTTTTCCATAGATAATTTTTATAATTATAAATATCGAAATATTAGATTACTTTGTGTCCAAAATGAAGGAATCCAAAACTTCGCAGAAAAAAATAATGGAAAATTAATTTATTCTCAAATTATTTTGTTTTGCAAAGATATTTAATAATAAATATTTATTATTATAAGAGCTCACAGGACTTTCTAAATTTAATTATTTCGCAATCATAAAAAATATAAATTTTTTGACAAAATATCTGGAAGCGTTTACAAAAAAAATGAGAAAGAAAGAAAGATAGAAATATTTGATCATGTAAAATAATATAAATTTTGAAATATATATATTATATTTAAAATAATCTTGGAATTACTCTATAATAAGCTTCTTTTTTCAATAGGCAGCACCTCAATATTGTTTATTTCGCGGAGAAGGTGACAGATCCAAAGAAAAAATTATTAAAGATTGGATTGAAGAAAAAGTAGGCATTTTTAAGGTAGATTGAAATTATACTAGAGGAAAAAAAAATTGTTTGTTTTCTTCTTCACAAACCTCTTTTTAAAAAACAATAGAAAATAAAATTGCCGAGGTCTTGAGTCCCTCCTGAATAAAAAAATTTTTTTTAAGTGAGAATTCATATCGTCTGATTTGAACAGATCTGCGCATCTTAGCATTAGTATGGCTCAAAAACACGATCGTATTTAAGAATTTAGGCTAGGGAGAATATAATTTATGGAATAGGAAATAGCA